CCTGGAAATCCGTCAGGTCCTGGGGCTTTATTGTTTTTCAATTTGGAGAGGGCTATTTTTAATTCTTCAATTGTAATCTTTCTATTAAGCATTTCTTTCTCTTCATCAGTTATTTGTGGGAGTTCTGCTTTTATCAAATACTTTTCTATTTTGTCATCCGATGTCTCCCCTTCTTTATATAGAGATTCGTAATATTCTCTCACCCTATCTCGTTTTTCTTCCTCGTTAGTCAATAATTTGCCCTTAGAGTCCTCTAAAGTATGGATTATTCCCCTTTCATTTTCCTTTTTTAATTTATAGGCCAGCCACCTCCCTGATTTGTTAGTGTTCTCAAAAAGATATTGTTTCGTTCTTTTCATTCTTTGTGCTAACTCTTCTTGCTCCATGATATTTACTTTATGTTTCCACATCATCCAATTTTCTTTGGCTGCTTCATCTTCTGGATCATCTTGGAGTTTTCTTTCTGCTTCTCCTATATGATTTAAATAGTCTTCCAGGGTCTTCCTTTCTTGTTTATTTTTATGAGCGGTGTATGAAATCACAACTCCTCTCAGGTAGGCCTTCATTGTATCCCAAACTATTGCACGGGATGTGCCTTTATTTTCATTTTCCTTGAAAAAGAAATTTATTTCTTCTTTGAATTTTTGTATACAGTCCTTGTCGCCCAGTAATTTAGCATTGAACCTCCACCTCCGTTGGTATTTTCTCTGAACAGGCTTCCATCTAATCTCCAATGGATTATGGTCTGCCCAATCGTTTGGGTTAATTACAGCTGTTCCAATTTCTAACCCCAAACTCCTACTGACCCATGCCATGTCAATTCTAGACCACGACTTTTGTGGGTTTGAAAAGAAGGTATATTGTCTGTCATTTGGGTGCAAGGTACGCCAGATGTCAATTAGATCCAATTCATCAACTAACTCAAAAAAAGCTCTCGGTAAATTTGTCCTTTTATTTTTTTTTACTTTATTGCTCTTGTGGTCCTTCTCCGGATCCACGATGCCATTAAAATCCCCTACCATACAGATTTCATTATATGCCATTTTCACTAATTGTTCGTGAAGTTTCTTAAAAAATTCTCCCTGTTTTTTATTCGGGGCATAAATGCCCACTAATAATCCCTTGGAATTCCCTCTCTTAATTTCAACCATAAGGATTCTACCCTTTGTATCTTTGAATTTCAATTCTGCTTCAATTCCTTTTTTTACGTAAATAGCCACCCCCCTCTTCTTTTTCTCTGCCAGCGAATCAAATGTTTGACCAAATTTTTTATATTCTAGACATTTACTTTCTTCTTTTTTTATGTGTACCTCTTGTAAACACATTATATCAACATTTTGTTTACCTAGTTTTCTTAATATTCTTTTCCTCTTTTTATATTCATTTAGTCCATTAACATTTACAGATATTAGCTTCAAGTCATTCATCTCTATACCCCTATCTGATTATTGGTTCTTGTTTGTTTCTTACGGCCCTTACTGGTCTTGCTTTCTTCTCTTTGGCTTCTTCTTCTTCTTCTGTCTTCTCCTCTACACTTGCTTCGTTTGTGTTCTGTTGGTGTAGGGCTTCCTCCCCCACTACTGCTATTTCTAGTTCTTCCTTGCTCCCCTGCTCTTCTTCCACACCTCTTAACTGGTCAAGGAAGTCTTGTGCTGTACTCAGGCTTTCTATTTTTATTTTTCTTCCTTGCCAGGTTATTAGCATCCCTTCTGGGAGAAGCCACCTAAATAGTATCTTTCTTTTATTCAACTGTATGGCCAATACTTTATCTAGTAGTAGATTATGGTCTACTTTATCAAATGCTTTACTGAAGTCCAAGTAAATTATATCGACAGCATTCCTCTGGTCCACTCATTTTGTCACTTTGTCAAAGAATGCAATATTAGTCTGGCATGATTTGTTTTTGACAAACTCATGTTGGCTTTTGGTTATTACTTGGTTTGCTTCTAGGTGTGAGCCTTAGCTTTCCTCACTTCATTTTTACAGGCTCGGGCTATTTGCTGATATTCTGCCTTAGTTATTTGCCCCTCTTTCCACCTTTTATACTTATCATACTTGTCCTTTTTGTCTTTGTCTAATCTGTATTGCTGGGAGTCAATACGGATTCCAGTCAAAAAGAATAAGTTCTTATTCTTGTCCTTTGCAGATTCAGAGCAATGCATCAGATGTCCAAACAATCTCTATCCAAACGAAGATCAAGATCGATGTATCCCTAAGATTACAGTCTTCTTCCATTACAGAGAAACTTTGGGCATTGTCATGGTTTCCTTTGCTTTATTCTTATCCTTAATCACTGGGTTCATTTTAGGAATCTTTATTAAATATTTGGAGACCCCGATAGTCAAAGCCAATAACCGGGATGTTTCCTACATCATCCTCACTTCCCTCCTGCTTTCCTTCTTGTCCACTTTTCTCTTCATTGGGCGGCCAAGCAAAGCCACTTGCCTCCTCCGACAAACAGCCTTCAGCATCATCTTCTCAGTGGCTGTCTCTTCCATCCTGGCCAAAACGATCACGGTGGTGCTGGCTTTCCTGGCCACAAAGCCAGGGAAGAGGATGAACAGATGGCTTGGGAAGAGTTTTGCCAACTCCATTATCCTTTCTTGTTCTGCTGTCCAGATAATCATTTGCTCCATCTGGCTCAGTGTCTCTCCACCTTTTCCTGACTCTGACATGCACTCCCAACCCAGAGAGATCACCCTGCAATGCAATGAAGGCTCTGTCACCATGTTTTATGTTGCCCTTGGGTACATGGGCTTCCTGGCCGCCATCTGCTTCACGGTGGCTTTCCTGGCCAGGAATCTGCCTGGGGCCTTCAATGAAGCCAAGCTGATCACCTTCAGCATGCTGGTCTTCTGCAGCGTTTGGCTGTCCTTTGTGCCAGCCTATCAGAGCACCAAGGGGAAGTCCATGGTGGCTGTGCAAGTCTTCTCCATCTTGGCCTCCAGCGGTGGTCTGTTGGTCTGCATCTTCTTCCCCAAGTGCTACATTATCATCCTAAGGCCTGATCTGAATACAAAAGATCACCTGACCACAAAAAGGAAAGATGGCACCTGAATCTGAAATATTTATTCTGAAGAAGAAATACTCCTTCGAACTTAAATGCTGCTAAAATAAACAATTCCGTTTTGTTTTCATTATAGAACTCTAGAGAAGAAGTCGTCAAATATGCTGAGCTGGCTAACAACCATTTATTTCCTCTTACTATTTACTTTGAATTTTCATCTTTTAACATTTATTTATTTATTATTTATTTATTTAATCAAATTTATATGCCGCCCTTCTCCCGAAGGACTCGGGGCGGCTCACAGAAATAAAAAGCATCGCACAATAAAATAATAAATTAGTTTTAGTTAATTAAAATACTCCAATTAAAACCCTTAGAAAAACTAAAAACTGAAAAACTCCCAAACTCAACATTTGAGTCCATTGTCCTGCCCTTTGGCATAACAATGAAAATTATTACTGAACTGTAACAACCCTTGAAATATTTGAAGACAGTTACTGCACTTGCTTTCAACCTTGTTGCAGGCTAAATAAACCCAGTTTCTTTTAACTGTTTCTTCTGGTGGTTGGTCATCAGCCTCTTGCTTATCCTTTTCTGAATGTGTAATTGTCCTTTCTGTGCTGTGGTGCAGCTTTCTCAGGACTGGGGTGTGAAAATGCTGAAGAAAGGCTTACCCAAAGAAACAAATTGGCTGGACAAAAACTAGTTGATGGCGGGCTTTTTTCTTTCTGGCAGCCAGCAAGTTCTTGCTGCCAGGTGAGAGACTTATATAGATCTATTTCTGGCTCTTTAGCCATCATCAGTAAGCCACACCTGCATCTCATGTATCCTCCCTGTAAAGCAGTGGTTCTCAGCCCTGTAAAGCAGTGGTTCTCCCTGTGGGTCGGGACCCCTTTGGGGGTCGAACAACCCTTTCACAGGGGTCGCCTAAGACCATCGGAAAACACATATTTTCAATGGTTTTAGGAATAATTTTATGGTTGGGGGTCACCACAACATGAGGAACTGTATTAAAGGGTCGCGGCATTAGGAAGGTTGAGACCCACTGCTGTAAAGGTACAATATCTATTTTCTTACTTCTTCGTAGGATTTCGTAGAAACCTCCTGGGACCAAAAACGGGCCACGGGGTGGGGGGGCACCACACCCCCGTGGCCCGTTTTGGCGCTGGGGGAAGCGCCAGACTCGAAAATCAGATGGCCAACAGGAGGCGCGCGCACATGGGCAGTGGAGCTGAGCTGGGCGACAGCTTGCTTGCCCAGAGAGGGCTCCACGTGCTACGTGTGGCACACGTGCCATAGGTTCACCATTACAGGTATAGGGTCTTCTGCTTGACATTGGAATTGGACTAGAAGACCTCCAAGGGTCCTTCCAACTCTGGTTCTGTTCCGTTCCGTTCTATTCCTACTCTAGTCCTATTTTAATTCTACTCATTTAATTTCATTTTCTATTCAGTTCCTAAGAAGGCCAAAGCAGGAAGAAGCAGCTGAACCCTGACATTTCTTCGCAAGGAAAAAACATTTGCGTACCTTGCATTCTTTCCCTTCCCATGAAAAATTCTGGAAGAAGATGCTAATAGAATCTGTTGTCAGGCAAACTTTCCAGTCACATCCTGATCAGGCCTTGTGCACAATCCAGGGTTGTGTGCAAACCAGAACGTGCGCTTTTTTTCAGTAGTAATGCAAACATTGCCTTTCCTCAACACACTAACCCACAAGACATCCGTTTGGCCTTGGGCTCAACACAACATCAACATGTTTTGCAAGCAAATTCAAAATTAAATGATTTTGATTCAATTTCAAAATTAAATAATTTGTAAATTTGTAATTTTTTAAACTATATATATATGTATATTTCCCATCCACTCAAACATAGCGTAGCCCTGAATCACAACTCACAGTTCCTGATTTATTTATTCCATCACACTTATATACCACCCATCTCACTAAACGACTCTGGGCATTTTACAAATGGCCGTTTCCTTCTTCATCAGTAAGTGTTGATGCCGATGATGTAAAGACAAGTCAGATATTTATTAAATTTATGGATAACTTCATCCAAGCATACAAGCCTTTTAAAGCATAATACTGTAAAAAAAAAAGTAGCTAATTTAAAATAACCAAAATACAAAAATATAAATAATAGATTAGGTCAACCTTCCTAATCCTAGAATGATGCTCATTGGGAACTCTAATCCCAATTTATCTAAGGAGCATCAGAGTATTGAGCTTGATGAATGCATACCAAACATAGTAGTGATGTTTGTACGAATATCAGGGAGAGGTGTTGAGTAGATGACCTATAAATTCCCTCCGGTCTTACATTCGGTGACACGTTTAACCAATTCAGTTATAATTCCAGTGTCCTCATTCATTGGCCTGCTAAATTTGTGTGTGTTAAACCAGTCCACTTGGCTAGCTGACAATTCAGTGTACTGTGTGAATTCAGATTATAGAAGCTGAACCGATACATCTGAACGCAGCATGTTAGCTGCAATTCAGTTCAGAGAGTATTAACTCTGACTATTGGTTTAATTCAGGAGTCAAAACAACATTCTGCATAAAGAGGGGCCATTCCTCTCCCACCCTTATTATTCATTTTAAAAGTTCAGTGTTCTGGTTTTATGATTGGTTAAATTAGTACAGATAATACTACGGGAGGCTTTCAAGAAGAGGCTGGACAGCCACTTGTCAGAAATAGTACAGGGTCTTCTGCTTGGGCAGGGGGTTGGACTAGATGACCTCCAAGATCCCTTCCAACTCTGTTATTCTGTATCTATTTTCTTTTGAGGTGATTGCAAAAGGGTTTGCCCTTGCCTGCTTCCTGGGGTTGTAAGAGGATGATCGGCCCAATGTCACGCAGCTAACTTCAGGCCCAAGACAGGACTAGAGCTCACAGTCTTACAGTTGAGCAAGAGGGTCTCCCAAAAATCTTCCATGGCTAAGTGATGACTAGATCTTGGATCTTCCTGCTCCCAGGCCAAGAGTTTAGCCATAATGGCTCTCTTCGCCCTCCTTTGTTCCTGTGCAACTCAGCATTAATTTAAAATCATTCTGTTATGCTATTTTATAGCTGAGGCGTCCTTGGTGCTCTTGAACTTGGTTGTTTCCTTGTAGACATTTCATTACCCAAACTAGGTAACACCCTCAGTACTATTCTAACTTAATCAGACTAGCCGAGGGGTCGGCAACCTGCGGCTCTGGAGCCGCATGTGGCTCTTTCATCCCTCTGCTGCGGCTCCCTGTCGTCAGTCGGCTCCACAATTGATAGGGCTTTTTGGTTAGGACAGGTAGAGGAAAAGCGATGCCATGCTAGGAGGAGACTCTATGGTGGGGGAACCGGACTTCCGGTCAATAGAGGAAAAAGGATGCCGCGCTAGGAGGAGACTCTATGGTGCAGGAACTGGACTTGCAGTTGGCAGAGGAAAAAGGACATCGCACCAGGAGACTCTATGGTGAGGGAATCGGACTTCCGGTCAGCAGAGGAAAAAGGACACCGCGCTAGGAGGAGATTCTATGGTGGGGGAACTGGACTTCTGGCTGGCTCCAGCATTCAACGGGGGGCTTCCGGTTAGGACCTTTGTGGCTCTTTGAGTGTTTAAGGTTGCCGACCCCTGGATCAGCCTGATGATTTCATTTTAATGCTGAGCTACAAATGTTCCCCTTAATTGGTACTTGATAGTTGTTCGAATTGTGAGACCTCAGAAAACGGCCAACAGTACTCAAAATAAATGTGTAAACAGCTTGAACGCTTCCTGGTGGGTTTTTTTTCCTCGAGCTATGCACCAGATTCTTGAGGAGCACCAGGGATTCACAGCAGATCCTCTATGGAAATCTCCTTTGCTCTGGTTTTATCTGCCAAGTGGGTTTCGTAAAAGGAAGAGGAGGAAAAAACAGCGTATGATGTTAAAACATCAAATAGTCCTTGTAGAAAGTAAACTAGTAAATTCCCAGGGCTTGTTCAGTCAGCCGGTCCCTTGGTCCGTCTATCTTCTACTTAGTCTTAGACTTATAAGCTGCTTTAAGTACAGATGATTCAAAGTGATGCACACTTCAATTCTGTGGGAAAAAAGAAAGGATTAAAACAATGAATAACAATAGCACAACACAATCACCTAAGTAATAACAAGAATGTAGGATTCTGATTCTAATACAGAAAATTCTTAAAGTGAATAGAAAGATAAAACCAGAAACTTTGGGGGGGGGGAAAGGGGTGAAATGCTCCCGGTTCGGACCGGATCGCCCGATCTGGTAGCGATGGAGGCAGGTGGTTCAGAGAACTGGTAGCAAAAATACCTGCCCCCCCCATGCCCAGCTGAGCTGCACAATCATCAGAGGCTTTTTTTTTTACTTTTAAAAGCATTTTTTCTACAACCTCTTCGGCTGAAAAAATGCTTTTAAAAGTAAAAAAAAAGCCGCTGATGATCACACGGCTCAGCTGGGATCGTCAAAGGCTTTTAAAAGAAAAAAAAAACCCTTTTTTTCTTTTAAATGCCTCTGACGATCCAAGCTGAGTTGCCCGATTGTCAGAGGCATTTAAAAGGAAAAATGCCAGAGCCTTTTGAAAGCATTTTTTTTACAACCTCTTCACCGAAATAGTTTTAAAAGTAAAAAAAAAAATAAAAAATAGCCACGCTCACCCAGTCACATTACCCCAAGCCACGCCCACAGAACCGGTAGTAACAAATTTTAGATTTCACCACTGGGGGGGGAGGGGCAGCTTAATGGAAAAAGACTTGGGGGAAAAATTTGGAACTCTGATCTTGACGGCACAAAAATGGAAGGACATTTTGATTCCCCCCATGGATGAATGGCTACAAAAGTTGATGCAGCTAGCAGAGATGGCTACATTAAACATTTTGATTTTTTTTAAAAAATATTTTATTTATTTATTTATTTATTTATTTATTTATTTATTTATTTATTTATTTATTTATTTAATTTCTATACCGCCCTTCTCCCGAAGGATTCAGGGCGGTGTACAGCCTGATTAAAAGCACAAAGACAGACAAAATTTAAAAATAATTAAAATTATTAAATGATAGGCTCAATTTAAAACCCCAAATTTGAAATCCCATTTTTAAAAACCCAATTAAAATCTTTATCTTGATAGCCCAGCCTGGCGGAACAACAAGGTTTTGAGGGCACAGCGAAATACACGGAGATCAGAGATTTTACAAATTTCTGGGGGCAGTTCATTCCAAAGGGCTGGGGCTCCCACAGAGAAGGCCCTCCCCCTGGGTGTCGCCAGCTGGCATAATTTGGCCGATGGCACCCTGAGGAGACCCTCTCTGTGGGAGCGGACTGGCCAGTGGGAGGCTACTGGTGGCAGAAGACGGTCTCGAAGGTATCCAGGTCCAATGCCATGGAGCGCTTTAAAGGTGGTACCCAACACCTTGAATCGCACCCAGAAGACCACTGGGAGCCAGTGCAGCTCATGCAGGAGGGGTGTCACGTGGGCACAACGAGTTGCGCCCATAACCACCCGCACGGCCGCATTCTGGACCAGTTGGAGCCTCCGGGTGCTTTTCAAGGGGAGCCCCATGTAGAGAGCATTGCAGTAGTCCAGTCGGGAGGTAACAAGGGCGTGAGTGACTGTGCGCAAGGCGTCACGATCCAGAAAGGGCTGCAACTGGCGGATCAGGCCAGTTGATATAAGTACCACCCAGGGTTTGTTCTCAGTGAGATGGGCTGCTATATAAATTTGATAAATAATAAACAAATATTTTTCTTGTAGAACATTCTATTCCTGCCCCTGATAAAGAAATGTGAACCTACAGATCTACATCCCCTACTTACCACTGGAGGACTTTCAAAATCCTGTCTGCTGGCTGTAACAAAGAGATGAGAAAAATCAAGATTTTGGAGGAAAACAGCATGTCCCTTTTAGTCAAACAATAGATCACATACACGAAACGCAAACTCCTGGGCGTCTCCCACATGTACACGTTTTAAAAACATAAAAGGGTTTCTTCTTGCTATCTGTCATCTCATGTCAACCACCATATAGAATGGAGATCTCCAAATTGGGCCACTTTTAAGACTTATGACCTTCAACTCTCATGTTGGCTGGGGAATTCTGGGAGTTGAAGTCCACAAGACTTCAAGTCGCCAAGTTTGGAGACCCCTGATCCAGAACAGGGTTTTTCCAAAATCTGTTCGGCATGGAATGTGATGGACATCATTAAAAAAAAAAAAAAGCCAATGCAATCAAATACAGCCAAGCCTCGATAGTAATTTATCTAAAATATAGCAGGAAAGCAAAGATGATGGCCCCTATCGTTCCCTATAAAAATACCTCAGACCAGGGGTGAAATGTAAAATTTGTTACTACCGGTTCTGTGGGCGTGGCTTGGAGGGGGGTCATGTGACTGGGTGGGCATGGCCAACTTTTTTTATAAAAGAAAAACTTTTCAAAGCATTTTTTCTAATGCTTTGAAAAGCCTCTGCCGATCAGGCAACTCAGCTGGGATCATCAGGGAGGCTTTTTAAAAAATACCTCTCTGCCGATCAGGCAACTCAGCTGGGATCGTCAGAGACTTTTCAAAGCATTTTTTTTTACCACCTCTTCGGCCAAGAGGTTGCAGAAAAAAATGCTTTGAAAAGCCTCTGACGATCCCAGCTGAGCCGCGCAATCATCACGAACTGCCCCCGGAAATTCGTAAGATCTCCGACCTCCGGATGTTTCGCTGCGCATTGAAGACCCTGTTGTTCCGCCAGGCTGGACTATCAACACAATAGTTTTAAATTGGGGTATTTAAATTTATTGGGGTTTTAAATTTGAGCCACTTTATTTAATTATTTTAAATTTTATATTGTTGTTTTGTCTGTGTTTTTAAATAGGCTGTACACCGCCCTGAGTCCTTCGGGAGAAGGGCGGTATAGAAATAAAATTATTATTATTATTATTATTATCAGAGGCTTTTTTTTTTTACTTTTAAAAGCATTTTTTCGTCGGAAGAGGTTGTAAAAAAACTGCTTTTAAAAGTAAAAAAAAAAAAAAGCCTCATGATCGTGCGGCTCAGCTGGGCATGGTGGGGGGGGAGGGGTTGCAGGGATTTTTGCTACCGGTTCTCCGAACCACCACCCGCCATCGCTACTGGATCGGGCGATCCGGTCCAAACTGGGAGCATTTCACCCCTGCCTCAGATGTGTGTGTGTTCTCCTGCAAAAAAATAACCCTGGTTGTCGTTTTGCTCATGTTGGCCCCTTTCCCACAAGTTACTCTTCCCCAGCACCATTTTCCTCTGTTTTCCCCAAACAAACTCTTATGCAAAGTTTCAGGGGGATTATTATGGCCAGCCAACAATTAGCTTCATTTATTGCCATTTTTCTATCTCTAGAGGTTAGTCTCTGGATCAAGGCTGGAAAAAAAACTAATAATAAAACATATTGTGGTTGGCTGATGGCCACAACGTTTGCTACAGCCTCTATATGTTTCACTCGATTTTTCTTTGTGTGTTTTATTGTGAATTGCCCAGAGAGATTTGAATACTGGGCAGTTCAGAAATTCTAACTAATCAATCAGTCAATATTGATTAAGGTTATTAATCAATATTAAGGTTGACTCAGCCTTCCATCCTTCCGAGATAGGTAAAATGAGGACCCAGATTGTGGGGACAATAAACTGACTTTGTATAAAAAAGAACACCGCTTGGGGGGGCCGAAAGCCCTACTAAGCAGTTATATACAAAAGTATGAAGGCTATTGCTTAATGCATTGTAAGCCGCCCTGAGTCTCTGGAGAAGGGCGGCATATAAATCGAACAAATAAATAAATAAATAAATAAATAAATAAATAAATAAATACATACATACATACATACATACATACATACATACATACATACGTACTTCTACAGGTAATCCTTGATTTACGACCACGATTAAGCCCCAAATTTCCGATGCTAAGCAACACAGTTGTTAAGTGAGTTTTGCAAAAGGAGATCACATGACCCCAGGACCAGGCAACCGTCATAAATACAAGACAATAGCTAAGTATCCAAATTTTGATCCTATGGCCAGGGAGATACTGCAACGGGTTTTAAATGTGAAAAATAGTCATCAGTCATGTTTTTTGATGCCGTCATAACTTCTAACGGTCACTAAATGAAGGGTTGTAGGTTGAAGACTACCTGTATGTAGCAGGATCCTATACAGGTGGTCCTTGACTTACAACGTTTCATTTAGTGACCATTCAAAGTTACAGCGGCACTAAAAACAATGACTTATTAGAATTAGAAATCTTTATTGGCCACGTGTGATTAGACACACAAGGAATTTGTCTCCGGTGGATAAGCTCTCAGTGCACATACAACAATAGGGATAGATGATTATGACCATTTTTTTTCACACTTATGACCATTGCAGAATCCCCAACATCACACGACTTACATTTGGGTGCTTGACAACTGACTCACATTTATGACGGTTGCAGTGATCCTCTTTTGCGACCTTCTGACAAGCAAAGTCAAAGGGGAAGCCAGGTTCTCTTAACAAGCATGTACTAAGTTAACAACTGTGGTGATTTCACTTTAACGACTGTGGCAAGAAACGTCGTAAAAATGGGGCCCTTAGCAAATTTCTCACTTAGCAGCATAAAATTTGGGCTCAATTGTTCGTTTTCTTTTGTTTGTTTTATTAGATTTATATACCGCCCTACTCCCGAAGGACTCAGGGCGGTGAACAGGCACAAAATAAAATACATAGATACAAAAGTTAAAAGACATAATTAAAACCAGATTAAATAATTTAGCCCGGGACAATTAAAAATCCCAATAATTTAAAACAGATTAAAATTTTGATTTAAAAGAATTTTAAAACAGGGGAGAAAACTAGGCCAGGCCGGCTTGCTGGAATAGGAGAGTCTTAAGAGCACGGCGGAAAGTGCGCAGATCCGGGATCCTCCGTATCTCTGGGGGGAGCTCGTTCCAGATAGTGGGTGCCCCCACAGAGAAGGCTCTCCCCCTGGGGGCTGCCAGTCGACATTGTTTAGCTGACGGCACCCGGAGGAGCCCCTCTCTATGAGAGCGTACCGGCCGGTGGGAGGCTGCTTGTGGTAGTAGGTGGTCCCGTAAATAACCAGGTCCTAAGCCATGGAGCGCTCTAAAGGTGGTGACCAAAACCTTGAAGCGCACCCAAAGACCACCGGGAGCCAGTGCAGCTCGTGCAGGAGAGGTGTCACACGGGAGCGCCATGTTGCTCCCATAACCACCTGCGCAGCTGCACTCTGCGCCAGTTGGAGCCTCCGGGTGCTCCTCAAGGGGAGCCCCATGTAGAGAGCGTTGCAGTAGTCCAGGCGGGAAGTGACGAGGGCATGAGTGACCGTGCGTAACGAGTCCCAATCCAGAAAAGGACGCAACTGGTGAATCAGGCAAACCTGATGAAAAATCCTCCCGGTCACGGCCGTCAAGTGCTCTTCTAAAGACAGCCGTGAATCCAGGAGGACACCCAAGTTGCGAGCCCTCTCTGTGGGGGCCAGCGATTCGCCCCCAATAGTCAGCGATGGCATCAACTGACTATATCGGGACGTCGGAAACCACAGCCACTCGGTCTTGGATGGGTTGAGCCTGAGCCTGTTCCTCCCCATCCAGATCCGCACGGCCTCCAGACACCGGGACATCACTTCAAGGGCATCGTTGGGGTGGTCCGGGGTGGAGATGTACAGCTGGGTGTCATCAGCGTCCTGGTGATGACACCCAGTTGTGATTGTAATTCGAGGACTACTTGTATTTCTCATGGCAGGGAAGCTGTTAACCTGCCACAGTTTCATTTGGGCTAATCGGGATCGTTCCCCCTTCCATCCCAAAGGCAACCTGTACCAAAATTACATTTCAAGGTCACTCACCTGATGCTGTTCTGTATGGGCTTCTGCCACATTTTTCTGCAAAACAGAATCAAGAAGTCAGAAATTATGTTCCCACTTAGGGAGCCCTCAATTTCCCCTCGGCCTTTGGTAGAAGTTCAGAAGTTCAGACCTTCATTCCTGCAGCATCAGAAACTTCCCAGAGCTGGGCTGGGAAGTCGGAAAACCCTCCTGGAAGACGCGAATTGCCCCCAAATGCTGGGGTGTGAGCATGTCATTAGCTAACCTTGGCAGGTTTAAAGAAGCCTTGATAGTACAGGGGTTTAGTGCACCCTGTTATTAACACAGCTGCCTGCAATTTCTGCTGGTTCGAATCTCTCCAAGGCTCAAGGTTGACTCAGCCTTCCATCCTTTCTAAGGTAGGTGAAATGAGGATCCAGTTTGTGGGGGCAATAAGATGACTTTGTATAAAATATACAAAAGAATGAAGGCTATTGCTTAACACACTGTAAGCCGCCCTGAGTCTCCGGAGAAGGGCGGCATATAAATCAAATTAAAAAAAAAAAAAAAAAAGCTAAGCAGGATCAATGTTCATTAATTCTTAGACATCCCAAATTCAGTTTATAGCCCCTGGATTTCTTAGTGGTCTCCCATCCCAGCACTAAACAAGATGAGCTCTGGCTTGTTTCTTAAAGTCTGCCAAGTTCAGCTCAGTGCTGCTACCAGTTAGGCAGAGGAGTTTCCAGAGCCCAAATCAAAGCGACCACGTTCAGTCACCATCCTCAAAAACAAATCAGCCTAAATATTACCGCTTAAGAGGGTGTTTTAGAACCTTGCCGGCTTGAAGGCGCATGGACTTCAACTCCCAGAATTCCCCAGCCAGACGTCCATGCATCTTCAAATGCCAAGGTTTCAGATACAGAGTTGGAAGGGAGCTTTTACTGTAGGTCATCTAGTCCACCCCCTGCCCAAGCAGGAGACCTCACACCATTTCTGACAAATGACAGTCCAATCTCTTCTTGAAAGCCTCCAGTGATGAAGCTCCCACAACTTCTGAAGGCAACTTCTGATCCATTGGTTGATTGTTCTCACTCTCAGAAAAGTTCTCCTCATTTCTAGGTTGAATCTCTCCTTGTTCAGTTTCCATCCGTTATTCCTTGTCTGGCCTTCAGGTGCTTTGGAAAGTAGCTTGACCCCCATTTTCTCTGTGGCAGCCCCTGAGATATTGGAACAGTGCTAACATATCTCCTCTAGTCCTTCTCTTCAGTAGACTAGCCATGCCCAGTTCCTGCAACCGTTCTTCATATTGAAGAATATTATTGAACTAATAAAATAAATAAATATGTTTTAGCCTCCAGTCCCCTAATCATCTTGGTTGTACTGCTCTGGAGGCTTTCTAGAGTCTCAACATCTTTTTTATAGTGCGACCAAAACTGGATGCAGTATTCTAGGTATGGTTTTACTAACGCTTTATATAGAGTTTATTTATTTATTTATTTATTTGTTCAATTTATATGCCGCCCTCCTCCGAAGACTCAGGGCGGCTTACAATGCACTTATAACAATAGCCTTCATTCTTTTGTATATACCTGCTTATTAGGGCTTTTAGGTTTAGGTTTATTAAATTTGTATACCGCCCTTCTCCCGAAGGACTCAGGGCGGTGAACAGCCAAGATTAAAATACATACAATATAAAAATTAAGATGAATTAAAACAGAATTAAATCAAATTGGCTTCCCAAAATTGCCCATAAAATAACCCATTAAAATTTTAAGCCAGCCCGGTTTGCTGAAATAGGAAGGTTTTCAAAGCTCGACGGAAAGTACGGAGGTCCGGGATCAGTCGTATTCCTGGGGGTAGCTCGTTCCAGAGGGCGGGTGCCCCCACAGAGAAGGCTCTCCCCCTGGGGGTCGTCAGTCGACATTGCTTGGCCGACGGCACCCTGAGGAGACCCTCTCTGTGGGAGCGGATTGGCCGGTGGGAGGTTATCGGTGGCAGAAGATGGTCTCGTAAATAAGCGGTGGCCCCCCATAAGCGGTGTTTCTACAAAGTCAGCTTATTGCCCCCACAATCCGGGTCCTCAATTTACCTACCTCGGAAGGATGGAAGGCTGAGTCAACCTTGAGCCTGGTGAGATTTGAACTCGCACTAATTGCAGGCAGTTGGCGGCTAAGTGCTACATAACAGCACTTAGTCCGCTGCACCACCAAGGCTCTGCACCAAGAGTTGTACTACTTTAGGGTATCATATGGACCAGTTCTCCAGGACTTTCAGGAGATTTGGAGGCTGTGTTTGGGAAGCTTGTGGAAAATGCCAGATTCGGGGGGAATGGATTGGCAGCATGTCAGATGGGGGATTCTAGAGTTAAAGTTCAACAATGTTCAAACTGCCAAGGTTGACAAGCACAATCTTAGGATATTACATAGGATATTGTGTAGACCAGGTGTCCAAAAGCAAATCAACCTCAACATTATGACTCAGAGCAGTGTTTCTCAACCTGCTCAATTTGAAGATGTGTGGACTTCAACTCCCTGGCTGTGGAATTTTGGGAGTTGAAGTCTACATTTCTTCAAATTGACCAGGTTGAGGAACACTACCTTAGGGTATTATGTAGACCACGTCTCCAGGATCTTCAGGAGGCCATGTTCAGAGGGAACTTGATCAGAAAGCTTGTGGGAAATATCAGGTTTGGGGCTGGAGGTTGGCAGCACCTCCTACATGTTTTGTGAATGTGTTGTGGCCCATTAGCGGCCTGTGCAGTTACTAGCTGATTCCAACAGCGAGGAGGCTGGTGTGGTGCTGTGCCAACAGCCTGTGCAGTTGGCACTCGAGTCGGACAATGAAAAGGTTGGAGATGATGTGGTGCCAGAGGCGGGGATTCAGCCAGGGCCTTCAGAACCTCCAGAAGCTCCCATAAGTGAAGAGGAAGAAGAGGAGGAGCCTCTTCTTGATGCACAAGTGCGCAGAGCTGCGAAAAGGCAGGAAGGAGGTCTCCTCGAGAGTAAGGTTTGGGATTAATTGGCCACCCCCCTAGCCTATTTAAGGAAGGACAATGACTGATGCAATTTACAGGAAACAACTTTGTTCAAATTCCTTCACGTCTTGATTCCAGGAAACGTTTGATTTGGCTCTTGTTTCTCTCTTATCAGTTTTCCTGCAAATTGCTTCAGGGCATTCTGCCAACCACAGTAAGATTATGCTTATCTGAAATACTGTGCCTCAGAACTGAGTTATTATTCTTTGAATTCTTGTCGGCTGTTAATGAAGTTAAATTAACAGCCCTTGTTCAGAAAAGACTGATTTATTGTACTTGTGTTCGAACAACTACTAAGAAAGCTCATTACTAAGGAGTCTTTAATTAGTAAATTAAAGTTTGTATGGACTTTGTGTGTGCTGTGTTCTTTGGGGTCCGTAGCTGGGGCAGAACAGAATGATGCACCTTGTGCCCACCCAAGAGATACTTACTGACGTAGAGACTCACTCCAACAGCAATGAAGACTGTGGTCACCACACCCCCGACGACTCCGGCCACGAGTCCCATGTTGGAGACAAAGGCTGTGTTAGAAAAAGGATAAAATGACTAGAAGTGTCCTTGAGATTTTTCTTCCCTCTAATTTCTCAGTCTTAGCAAGAGGGCAGCGAAGACTGAGTTAACTGAGCCATGGTGCTCTAAAACAGTGGTCCCAAACTTTCTCGCTTTGTGGACTGATGGTGGGGGGGGAGAGGGGGTGGTTCTCCACGAGAGGCAGGTGAATGCAGCTCCATTTATACAAGTGGTGGGCATATGCGCCCCACCACTTGCTCAAATGGAGCTGTGGATGCATCTGTGCTCACCCGCTACTTCCGTGCTCGGTTCTGACCAGGCCACAGCCTGGTACTGGACTGCGGCCCAGGGATTGGGGACCCCTGCTCTAAAATATTCCTAATAGCAGGGACAGAACCTCTGATCCAGGGTGATAATTGATTTGTTGAAGGAGGAGCGAAATAGCCATTTTTCTGAGATGTTTTAACTCTGCACTGAGCAGAGGTGGACTGGATGACCTCATGGGAACCTTCCAACGCTAAGATTTTGACACACAATTATTTATTTTATTTTATTTATTTATTTATTTGATTTGATTTGATTTCTATACCGCCCTACTCCCGAAGGACTCAGGACGGTGCACAGCCAAACAATAAAACACATACATACAAAATTTAAAAGTAGAATAAAATCAAATTAAATAATTTTGGCCCCGACAAATTTAAAACCCCAAACTTTTAAAACCAATTTAAAATTGAATGTATAAAATACTAAAAGATATTTAAAAATTAAAAATCTTTTATAAAAGGGAGAAAATTAGGCCAGGCCCGCCTGGTGAAATAGTAAGGTCTTTAAGGCGCGGCGGAAGGTGCGCAGATCCGGGATCCTCCGTATCTCTGGGGGGAGCTCGTTCCAGATAGTAGGTGCCCCCACAGAGAAGGCTCTCCCCCTGGGGGCCGCCAGTCGGCATTGTTTGGCTGACGGCACCCGGAGGAGCCCCTCTCTATGGGAGCGTACCGGCCGGTGGGAGGCTATTGGTGGTAGTAGGCGGTCCCGCAAGTACCCAGGTCCTAAGCCAAAGGTGGTAACCAAAACCTTGAAGCGCACCCGGAAGACCACCGGGAGCCAGTGCAGCTCACGCAGGAGGGGTATTACATGGGAACGCCATGTCGCTCCCATTACCACCCGCGCGGCCGCACTCTGCGCCAGTTGGAGCCTCCGGGTGCTCCTCAAGGGGAGCCCCATGTAGAGAGCGTTGCAATAGTCCAGGCGGGAGGTGACAAGGGCATGAGTGACCATGCGTAATGAGTCCCGATCCAGAAAGGGACGCAACTAGCGAATCAGGCGAACCTGATGAAAAATCCTCCCGGTCACGGCCGTCAAGTGCTCTTCTAAAGACAGCCGTGAATCCAGGAGGACGCCCAAGTTGCGAGCCCTCTCCGTGGGGGCCAATGATTCGCCCCCAATAGTAAGTGATGGCGTCAACTGACTATATCGGGACATCGGAAATCACAGCCACTCGGTCTTGGATGGGTTGAGCCTGAGCCTGTTCCTCCCCATCCAGATCCGTACGGCCTCCAGGCACCGGGACATCACTTCAAGGGCATCGTTGGGGTGATTGTTAGATAGATAGATAGATAGATAGATAGATAGATAGATAGATAGATAGATAGATAGATAGACAGATAGATAGACAGATAGACAGACAGATAGACAGATAGATAGACAGATAGATAGATATGTTAGGAAATGGTTATTGCCTAATTGGTTGGCCAGGAAATATATAAACCAACATTGTATGTTTGTATTATGTGAATGTATTATGTAGCTTTAAGAACTGTGCTGAGTCATTCTGCATCCTGATTGGCTGAGCTCTGTAGCCAATGTATTTAAGGAGAGCTAAATTATGGTTAGTGTGGACACTACACCATTTTACCTGCTGCTACGCTGTTACTCTTTTTGATCTCTCTCTGGTCAACTGTTTGATCATGATTAGTTATTTACTGCTTTCTGATATTTATTGAACTGTTTTTATATTGTTCCTGAGTGTTCCTTGTATTTTTCTGCAAACTGGTAAGAACATTGTGTATCCCTGGATTGATCTTATATTCCACTTTATATGGCTAAGACTTGGATTGTTAAAGGACTATGATTTTGCTTTTCCCTTAAAGTAAAATACTTTAAAACCCAGTTTGTCTGTATGTTATTCGCAATTACTCTCAAAACGTTTCCATGCGTAAAACTCTTAACGGTACTCTGCTTTATAAGCCACAACTTCGGGTGTAACTCAATAATATCCTTAACAAGATAGATAGATAGATAGATAGATAGATAGATAGATAGATAGATAGATAGATAGATAGATAGATAGATAGATAGAGATGATAGATAGAGATGATAGATAGAGATGATAGAGATGATAGAGATGAGATGATAGAGATGAGATGATAGAGATGATAGATAGAAGATAGATAGAAGATAGATAGAAGATAGATAGAAGATAGATAGAAGATAGATAGAAGATAGATAGATAGTAGATAGATAGATAGATAGTAGATAGATAGATAGTAGATAGATAGATAGATAGTAGATAGATAGATAGTAGATAGATAGATAGTAGATAGATAGATAGATAGAAGATAGATAGATAGATAGAAGATAGATAGATAGAAGATAGATAGATAGAAGATAGATAGATAGAAGATAGATAGATAGATAGATAGATAATTTTCCATACCATAACCCCACTCCGACTCTACACATCCACACACGTTCTTTCTTCTGGCCTCCCATAGGAGCCAAACTTTACACAACCACCCTTAAAATTTTCTCCTCTTTCAGAAGGCCTTAATTTACCCACCAGCTCAGATTTCCACAAAGGTCTGAGTTGCCAAACACACTGGACTAGTTCAAGGGTTCATCTGAACTTAGTTCAGGTCTCTTTAGGGCCTACCATGTTGAGTAAATCCAACCTTTGACCAAATTTATGGTCAACGCATTGGGTGAACCCAGTAAATGAGGGAACTTCATCACCACGTTCATTAGATTGTATGATCACAGCTATGTGAGATTTCACGGACACTTTTGCTCATGTTCAACTGGTTCCCCCCCACCCCCTTATTCTTACCAGGCTCCTTCCAAGCCACGATCAGAGGCTCTGGCAGCCCGGCATGCTCCACATAGCACCGATAGCGGTCCCTCTCCTTCGGGTCAACCTCGATGCTCAGCCAGGCATGGTAGGTCCCATCTGAGTTTGGAAGGACACCACCCCGGAAGGTGTCCTGCTCCCAGACTTCCCCATCCTTCCTCCAGGTGGCATCCACCTCTTTGGGATAAAAGCCGTAGATTCGGCAGATGAGGGTCTCCATACTGTTGTACTGGATCCTGCGAGTTACCATCACCAATGGGGGCTCTGTAGAGAACACAACACTGTCGAATTTTAAGACTGCACTTAACAGATTAACAGAGTTGGAAAGGACCTTGTACATCCTCTCTTCCAACCCCTGGCCAAGCAGGAGACCCTACACCAGTGATGGCGAACCTATGGCACGTGTAGCCATATCAGTGGGCATGTCAGCTCAGCTCTGGCGCGCATGCACGCACCAGCCTGTTGATTTTTGGGCCTTTTGGGCTCACCAGAAGTAGGGAAACAGAATGTTTCCTGCCTCTGGAGGGCCTGTGGGGGATGGGGAAGGCCCGTTTTACTTTCTCACCTGGCTCCAGATCCTCTCTATGCGTCTGGGGAGGGCGAAAACAGCCTTCCCCACCCTCCTGGGAGGGGGGAGGGGGTCATGTGTGCATGCATGAGGCACATAAATTATGGGTGTGGGCACGCATGCACGTAAACCTCCCCCGCCCCCGCCCCCCGGCATGCAATGGCAAAAAGGTTAGCCATCACTGCCCTACACCATTTCTGACAAATGGCAGTCCAGTCCCTTCTTGAAAGCTTCCAGTGATGAAGCTCCCACAACTTTCCAAGGCAAGCTGTTCCATGGGTTGACGGGTTGAATGAGTCAGTGGTTAAAGTGCAGTACTGCAGGCTATTTCTGATGACTGCTGGCTGCCTGCAATTTGGCAGTTTAAATTTCACCAGGCTGAAGGTTGACTCAGCCTTCCATCCTTCTGAGGTGGGTAAAATGAGGACCCAGATTGTTGGGGGCAATAGGCTGACTCTGTAAACCGCTTAGAGAGAGCTGTAAAGCACTATATAAGTGCTATTGCTATTGTTCTCACTGTCAGAAAATTTCTCTTTATTTCTAGGTTGAATCTCTCCTTGATCAGTTTCCATCCATTATTCCTTGTCTGGCCTTTGAGTATCTAGGAAAATAGCTTGGCCCTTTCCTCTCTGTGGCACTGCTATCATGTCTCCCCGATCCTTCTCTTCACTAGACTAGCCACACCTAGTTCCTGCAACTGTTCATCATATGTTTTAGCCTCCAGTTCCCTAATCATCTTGGTTGCTCTTCTCTACACTTTTTCTAAAGTCCCAACATCTTTTTTACATTGTGGCAACCAAAGCTGGTAGTATTTTATTTTTATAAAGTACAAAATAAAATACAAGTATTTTATTTTTATAATTATAATGTACACTGAAGATGGCATTTAATTTCATTGTACGAGGTGCAATGACAATAAAGTAAACTAAACTAAACTAAATTTAGGATTGCATTGGCTTTTTTGGCTGCCGCCGCACACTGTTATCTCATATTTAAGTGGTTGTCCACTAAGACTCCAAGATCCCTCTCACAGTTACTACTATTAAGCCTGGTTTCACCCAGTCTATATGTATACTTTTGGTTTTTCTTGCCTAAGTGTAAGACTTTACTTTTCTCTACACTGAATTTCATTTTGTTAGATCAGAGGTCTTCAAACTTGGCAGCTTTAAGACTTGTGGACTTCAACTCCCAGAATTCTCTAATCAGCATAGCTGGCTGGAGAATTCTGGGAGTTGAAGTCCACAAGTCTTAAAGCTGCCAAGTTTGAAGACTTCTGTGTTAGATACTTCTGTAGCATGGAGACTTTGCATCACAGATCCCGCACTCTCCTATAACATCACCAACCCTTGGCTCCCTCCTTCCTTCCTCACCTTTCCTCAGCAGGGATTCCTTTCCATACACCATGCACTTCTGAAGCAGCTGGATACATTCCTGCTCCAAAAAGTTATTCCTGCTCTGGGCGATGAAAGGCTCCGCTTCCCACCTTCTCTTGGTCACCTGAGCGCGGACGTCGACCGCGGTCCAGGTGAGGGTCTTCTGATCCAAGCTGATGAAGTCCTCTCCATCGTAGCCATACTGGTAAACCCCGCCCTTGTGGCCATCTTTGCTCAGATCGCAGCCGATCACGCGCTGCCAGCTGTGAAACCCTGCCGAGAAGATGGACACAGAACAGAAGTATGACACTCCCAGGAGAACCCGCTCACTGTCCCTATTCTTGTCCTCCTTTTTGGTTTCTTCTTCCACTTGGGTAGTTGAAAATGTACCGATTCAGCAGGAGTCAGGAGATAGTTTGGTAAACATCCAGCTGCATGCCACAATGGGCAGGTCCAACTCAAACATTTTTTTTTTTAAAATTTGATTTATATGCCGCCCTTCTCCGGAGACTCAGGGCGGCTTACAATGCGTTAAGCAATAGCCTTCATACTTTTGTATATTTATACAAAGTCAGCTTATTGCCCCCACAAACTGGGTCCTCAATTTACCTACCTTAGAAAGGATGGAACCTTGAGCCTGGGGAGATTCGAACTAGCAGTAATTGCAGGCAGCTGAATGATAATAACAGGCTATTAGTCTGCTGCGCCACCAGGCTCTTTGCCTGGTGGAGAGAATTGGAGAGAATCTCCAAGCTAGGAACCCCCTTCTCTTTTTTTTTTGTTTAGAACAGAGTTCCCCAACCTTTCTGGGTTGGCGGCCGAGAGTGGGAGGAAGGGGCAAGAAGGCATAGTTTTATGGGAGGGGCAAGCACACGCATGCACATGCATGAACACAAGTTGCTCATGGAAGTGAGGCTAAGAGTGCTTATGACGCAGGGGTGAAATGCTCCCGGTTCAGACCGGATCGCCCGATCCGGTAGCGATGACGATGGGTGGTTCGGAGAACCGGTAGCAGAAATCCCTGCCCCCCCCCACGCCCAGCTGAGTCGTGTGATCATCAGAGGCTTTTTTTTTTTACTTTTCAACAAAGGCTTTTAAAAGTAAACCAAAAAAAAGGCCCTTATGATCGTGTAGCTCAGCTGTGATCGTCAGAGCTTTTAAAAGCATTTTTTCTACAACCTCTTCAGCTGAAGAAAAAATGCTTTTAAAAGTTAAAAAAAAAAAGTTGGCCACGCCCACCCAGTCACATGATCCCCCACCAAGCCATGCCCACAGAACTGGTAGTAACAAATTTTACATTTTACCACTGTTGTGACGATGCTCACACAAGTGGGGCACGGATGAAATGCTACCGGTTTGCACCGGTTCGGGAGAACCGGTAGTGGCGGGTGGTGGTTCAGAGAACCAGTAGCGGCGGCAGCACGAGGCTCCACCCACTCACCTGGACGTTGTTACTTCCTGGTTTTAACCAGGAAGTAACCTGTTTTTTACCCTCTGTGCGTGTGCAGAAGGGTTTGTGCATTCTCAGAGGGTCGAAGTGCGCATGCGACACGCAGGGTACATGCACTTCTGAACTGATCTTTATCTTTATCTTTATCTTTATTCAAATTTCTATACCGCCCTTCTCCTTTCGGACTCAGGGCGGTGAACAGCCAAAAAATAAAACATTTTATATACAAAAGTTAAAATAAATTTAAAATAATTAAATAAATTTGGCCCATTAATTTAAAACATTCCAATTAAAACCATATCAAAATTATTTAAAACCAATCATAAAATCAGGACAGCCCGGCTAACTGAAAAAAATAGGTTTTGAGAGCCCGACGAAAAGTCCGGAGGTCTGGGATCACTCGTATCTCTGGGGGTAGATTGTTCCAGAGGGTGGGTGCTACCACAGAGAAGGCTCTCCCCCTGGGGGTCGCCAGCCGACATTGCCTGGCCGACGGCACCCTGAGGAGGCCCTCTCTGTGGGAGCGAACTGGCCGGTGGGAGGCAATTGGTGGCAGGAGGCGGTCCCGTAGATACCCCGGCCCTAAGCCCTGGAGCGCTTTAAAGGTGATCACCAACACCTTGAAGCGCACCCGGAAGTCCACCGGGAGCCAATGTAGATCGCGCAGGAGAGGAGTCACATGGGAGCGCCCCGTCACTTCCATAATGATAGGGAAGATAAGTAGATTTCACCACTGAAGTGGGGCTGTGAGCGCCCGCAACGCTCACGGTGACGCTTGTGTGAATGGGCTGTGAGTGCTTGCATGAATAGGGCCACGAGTGCCCGTGATGCAAAAAAATCCCAAACCCAAACCCCAGATCCCATTTTCTTTGCTAGCATTTTCTAACTTGTTCAGATTCTTCCTAAAGAGGTATGGTTCTCTCTGGAGGCCAAAATCCATGGTTCCCAGCCTTCCCCGCCCAATGTCCTACCTCTGCTGGAGTTGTGGTAGCTGTGCAAGATGGCAAGGTCAGTTTTGAACCGCCGCTCTGTGGTGCTGACTCTCCGTGATGTCAGATCCCAGAAATGGGAGTCGTCCTCCTCCTCCTCCATTTTATGAAGCCAGGACATTTGGGGTAACATCCTTCTTGTGCGGGGGTCAAAATGCGCAGCGAGCTGGTCGTCCACATACGCCACCACAATGTAGCGGGGCACATCCTGGCTGGAGCCCATGACCAGAGTGTAGAAAATGCGCAATGAATGGGAGCCTGAAAAGAGCACAGGGTGGGGGGTGGGAGAGAAAGAAAATTTGGGATAGAGGTGTCACACTTAACCCCCTGCCCCCGCTCTTTTTTATTTGGAACCAGCTCCCTATTTCGAGAAAGCCTCAATACAGCTAGTCCTTAACTTACAACTATTCAGTACAAGAACAGCGGTGGTGCAGTAGTTAGAATGCAGTACTGCAGGCTACTTCTGCTGCCTGCCGGCTGCCTGCAATTCGGCAGTTCGAATCTCACCAGTCTCAAGGTTGACTCAGCCTTCCAGCCTTTCGAGGTCAGTAAAATGAGGACCCAGATTGTTGGGGGCAATGACTCTGTAAACCGCTTAGAGAGAGCAGTAAAGCACTGTGAAGCGGTATATAAGTCTAAGTGCTAGATAGATAGATAGATAGATAGATAGATAGATAGATAGATAGATAAATAGATAGATAGATAGAGACAGACAGACAGACAGACAGACAGACAGACAGACAGACAGACAGACATAGATCAGAGGTGTCAAACTCAAGGCCCGTGGGTCAGATCTGGCCGCGGTGGTGCAGTAGTTAGAATGCAGTACTGCAGGCTACTTCTGCTGATTGCCGGCTGCCTGTAATTTGGCAGTTCGAATCTCGCCAGGCTCAAGGTTAACTCAGCCTTCCAGCCTTTCGAGGTCAGTAAAATGAGGACCCAGATTGTTGGGGGCAATACGCTGACTCTGTAAACCGCTTAGAGAGGGCAGTAAAGCACTGTGAAGCGGTATATAAGTCTAAGAGATAGATAGATAGATAGATAGATAGATAGATAGATAGATAGATAGATAGATAGATACAGACAGACAGACAGACAGACAGACAGACGGACATAGATCAGAGGTGTCAAACTCAAGGCCCGTGGGTCAGATCTGGCCGCGGTGGTGCAGTAGTTAGAATGCAGTACTGCAGGCTACTTCTGCTGCCTGCCGGCTGCCTGCAACTTGGCAGTTCGAATCTCACCAGTCTCAAGGTTGACTCAGCCTTCCAGCCTTTCGAGGTCAGTAAAATGAGGACCCAGATTGTTGGGGGCAATACGCTGACTCTGTAAACCGCTTAGAGAGAGCAGTAAAGCACTGTGTAGCAGTATATAAGTCTAAGTGATAGATAGATAGATAGATAGATAGATAGATAGATAGATAGATAGATAGATAGATAGATAGACAGACAGACAGACAGACAGACAGACGGACAGACAGACATAGATCAGAGGTGTCAAACTCAAGGCCCGTGGGTCAGATCTGGTCCGTGGGGCCGGCCTGGAAACAGGAAAGGACCAGCTCACAGTGCCTTTGTCAGCAAAAGCGGAGCTTGGAGGGCGGGGGCATACATGTCCCCCCAGCTCCGTTTTCTCTGGGCAGAGGGCTGCAAGAAGCTGTTGTGTCCGAAAAAAGGGGCACAGGGGAGCAACGCGTGACCCCCCTTTGAGTTCCATTTTTGCTGACAGAGTGCTATCAAAACAAACTAAAAACAAAACAAAATCTCTCCAAGGCTCAAGGTTGACTCAGCCTTCCATCCTTTCTAAGGTAGGTAAAATGAGGACCCAGTTTGTCTGGGGGCAATAAGCTGACTTTGTATAAATATACAAAAGGATGAAGGCTATTGCTTAGCGCATTGTAAGCCGCCCTGAGTCTCCGGAGAAGGGCGGCATATAAATTGAATTTAAAAAAAAAAAAAAAAAGGAGGAATGTTTCCCCTTTTGCATTTGAGCATACAAGAAGGGACAGGAAAGGAGAAAGGGAAAGAGGAAAGAAAAAGAAGGGAAGATGGGAAGGGAGCAAAGGAGGAAAAAGAAGGAAAGAGGGGAAGGAAGGAGAAAGGAGAATGAAGACGGAAGGAAGGAAGGAAGGAAGGAAGGAAGGAAGGAAGGAAGGAAGGAAGGAAGGAAGGAAGGAAGGATAGCCGGCTAAGGAATTCTGGGAGTTGAAGTCCACAAGTCTTAAAGTTGACCACTTTGGAGACTCCCTGCTCTAAAATCTTGGCTACCTACGGAGGTATATCAGGAAAGATATCCTGCAGGGATGGTCCGAAAGGAGGATAAACTACATGCCCTCTAGTACCCCTTCAGTTCTACCCCAGGAGGTATAATACCATGCCAAAAGCCTGCAAAGGGTTTAACAACGTATACTTATTTCAGACAGATAGGATACGATCAGAGGTGGGTTTCAGCAGGTTCTGACCAGTTCTGGAGAACCGGTAGCAGAAATTTTGAGTAGTTCGGAGAACCGGTAGTAAAAATTCTGACAGGCCCCACCCCCATCTATTCTCTGCCTCCCAAGTCCCAGCTGATAGGGAGGAGCTGGGGATTTTGCAGTAACCTTCCCCTGGATTGGGAAGGGAATGGAGATTTTACAGTATCCTTCCCCTGCCACGCCCAAATCACGCCTTCTCTGTGGGAGCCCCTGCCCTTTGGAATGAACTGCCCCCAGAAATGCGTAAGATCTCCGATCTGCGTATATTTCGCTGTGCCCTCAAAACCTTGTTGTTCTGCCAGGCCGGGCTATCAATGTAAAGATTTTAATTGATTTTAAATGTGGGATTTTAAATTTGGGGGTTTTATAATTGAGCTAATTATTTAATAATTTTAATAATTTTAAATTTTGTTTGTCTTTGTGCTTTTAATTAGGCTGTACACCACCCTGAGTCCTTCGGGAGAAGGGCAGTATAGAAATAAAATTATTATTAATATTATTATTATTATTATTATTATTATTATTATTATTATTATTATTATTATTATTATTATTATTATTATTATTACCAATCCATGCCACGCCCACTAAGCCACACCCACAGAACTGTTAGTAAAAAAATTTGAAACCCACCGTTGGATAGGATGGAACCTAGCCACTCAACCGGGCGAAGCCTCTGGAACTCGCTGCCACAGGAAAACCAAGCTGCCCGCCTCAGGTCTCCTTAGCCCACTCACCTGCGCATCCTCCGCGCAGCAACAGGACGGCCGCCGCGGACAGAAGCCCCAACCGGGCTACCGGGAGCCCCATCCGGATCCAGACGGCGAAATGCAGCCCACATCAGCTGGCGGCGAAGGATCGGGACGAGGCTGCGGCCAAGGAGAAAGTTTATAAAAAGCGCCGGAGGGGGCTGAGCCCTGGAAAGTGAAAGAGGGGGAGGGGGCTGAGCCCTGGAAAGTGAAAGTGGGGGAGGGGTCTGAGCCCTGGAAAGTGAAAGTGGGGGAGGGGGCTGAGCCCTGGAAAGTGAAAGAGGGGGAGGGGGCTGAGCCCTGGAAAGTGAAAGTGGGGGAGGGGTCTGAGCCCTGGAAAGTGAAAGTGGGGGAGGGGGCTGAGCCCTGGAAAGTGAAAGAGGGGGAGGGGGCTGAGCCCTGGAAAGTGAAAGTGGGGGAGGGGTCTGAGCCCTGGAAAGTGAAAGCGGGGGAGGGGGCTGAGCCCTGGAAAATGAAAGAGGGGGAGGGGGCTGAGCCCTGGAAAGTGAAAGTGGGGGAGGGGTCTGAGCCCTGGAAAGTAAAAGTGGGGGAGGGGTCTGAGCCCTGGAAAGTGAAAGTGGGGGAGGGGGCTGAGCCCTGGAAAGTGAAAGCGGGGGAGGGGGCTGAGCCCTGGAAAGTGAAAGCGGGGGAGGGGGCTGAGCCCTGGAAAGTGAAAGCGGGGGAGGGGGCTGAGCCCTGGAAAGTAAAAGCGGGGGAGGGGGCTGAGCCCTGGAAAGTGAAAGCGGGGGAGGGGGCTGAGCCCTGGAAAGTGAAAGCGGGGGAGGGGGCTGAGCCCTGGAAAGTGAAAGCGGGGGAGGGGGCTGAGCCCTGGAAAGTGAAAGCGGGGGAGGGGGCTGAGCCCTGGAAAGTGAAAGCGGGGGAGGGGTCTGAGCCCTGGAAAGTAAAAGTGGGGGAGGGGTCTGAGCCCTGGAAAGTGAAAGAGGGGGAGGGGGCTGAGCCCTGGAAAGTGAAAGCGGGGGAGGGGGCTGAGCCCTGGAAAGTGAAAGCGGGGGAGGGGGCTGAGCCCTGGAAAGTGAAAGCGGGGGAGGGGGCTGAGCCCTGGAAAGTAAAAGCGGGGGAGGGGGCTGAGCCCTGGAAAGTGAAAGCGGGGGAGGGGGCTGAGCCCTGGAAAGTGAAAGCGGGGGAGGGGGCTGAGCCCTGGAAAGTGAAAGCGGGGGAGGGGGCTGAGCCCTGGAAAGTGAAAGCGGGGGAGGGGGCTGAGCCCTGGAAAGTGAAAGTGGGGGAGGGGGCTGAGCCCTGGAAAGTGAAAGTGGGAGACGGGGGGGGGGGCCGTCGGCTCCCTTTGGAGAGAAGGAAGGGAGACCCGTAGAGAGCTAGAAAAAGGAAGCGAAAGGAGACTTCGGGGCAAAAAATCTGCCAAGCCCCGAGCGCGGAGAGGAGGACTCGGCCCCTTAGATGGGGGGGGGGGGGCGAGGCATCGTGGGAATTTCCCTTGTTTGTTGCGGAGCAGGGCAGCTCAATCCTCCGGGTGCCCCGAGAGGAAGACCCTCCTGCCCCCTTCACGGGTGGGTGATCTGATTCCAACCGAGTTCCTTGCGGGGGACTACAATCCCCATTTCCCTCTGGTCTGGGGATGATGGGGATTGTCTCTTAACACCCGCGAAAGGCAGCCGATTGCTTGGATCAGGGGGTCTCCAAACTTGGCAACTTTAAGACTTGTGGACGTCAACTCCCAAAAGTTGCCAAGTTTGGAGATCCCTGGCCTGGATAAATAAAAGTGGATTGGAGTCGGGTGCTCTTTAAATCTATCTATATATATATATATATATATATATATTTCCTTTCTCACCTGCCAGCCCTTCCCGCTTCTTGTCTTCTCACTTTTGCCGACTTCTGACGCTGGTAGCCCACCAGCTAAACTCGGCGCCAAAGGCGGAAACGAATCCAAGCCTGACGCAAAGCGAAACCAAACTGCGCTTTGTGGCTTGAACCGTTGCTGATCCTCAACTTTTAAGTGCCAGCTCAGCGATAGGCTCAGGCGTCCTCTGGTATGTCTTGTAATCGGAGGGAAAGAAAGGAAAGAAAGAGAGGAGGAGGGGAGGAAGTGGGAGGAGAGAGAGAGAGAGGAAGGAAGAAAGAAGAGAAAAAAAGGAAGGAAGGAAGGAAGGAAGAAGAAGAAGAAGAAGAAAGAAAGAAAGAAAGAAAGAAAGAAAGAAAGAAAGAAAGAAAGAAAGAAAGAAAGAAAGAAAGAAAGAAAGAAAGAAAGAAAGAAAGAAAGAAAGAAAGAAAGAAAGATGGTAGCCCACCCGCTAACTCCGCGCCAAAGGCAGAAATGAATCCAGACAAAACACAAATTTGGCGCTTCGTGGTTTGAAGAGTTAAGTGCCAGCCTTTTCAAACATGCTCAGGGACCCTTCGGTCAGTCTTGCAATCGGAGGGGAGGGGGGAGAAGCAGGGGAGGGGGAGGGGGAGGCGCCGTCCCAGGCTGGTTTTCCCCTTTCCTAAACTTCCCCTTGCGCAGCTCCACCCCTCCTGCTTCGCTGAGCCTTTGGTGACTAAGCAATTCCCGGTTGTTTTGCTGAGCAAGGAGTGAAAGTGAAAGTAGACCCGAGTCTCCCTCCAGTCCAGCTCCCCTCCTCCCCTACAGAAAAACCTCTTGGTGAAGTGTGTGTTGTATCTTCCAGAAGTGGCACCCCTGTGAAACTCCAAGCAGGTCCTATCGTGCTGGGCCACCATGTTGTGGAATGAAGGGACCAAACAACATTCCTGGGTCAGCCAGAGACAGTTTTTATTGCGCAAGGTTCAGAGCCAGATTTGTACCTGAAACTTTGAACCAGGAAAGAGCTCTGATACAACTGTTTTTATACATTTCTAAGACAAAGGATTCGGTGAGATCATGCATTTTCCATATATGGTCAACATACATCCGATTTTCCCTATATGGTTAACATACATTTGATAATCCTTGTGTCATTCACAGTGAGGTCACTCAGATGTTTTCCATATGGCTGTCCTTCTGTGACATCTAGGTCTCATCAGAAGATACATTACCACTTAATGGGGTTTAGCTGTTTTTAATGTAATCTCCAACAAGCACTTTTCTATCTTATAATAATGTGAATAGAGAGGGTTTCCTAGAGTTCATGTATCTGACTCTGTATGATTCCTTCTTTTATCCACATTAACCAGACAGTGGACATGTGGGGTCAAACTGGGGTTCAGGCACGCAAGCTGCTGCGTGCAGCGGTGGGCTTCAAAAATGTTAGCTAGGGGTTCTCTGCCCCCGGTTGCTGGGTGGGTGTGGCCATGGTGGGCGTGGCCTAGTCAGCCTCCTGCACGGGGGTGGTGGTGGCGTTTTTGCCCTCCATGGGCTCCGGAGGCTTTCCTCGAGCCTCCGAGAGGACGAAAACGGCCTCCCCAGGCTCTGGAGGCTGGAAATGGGCCCATTTCTGGCCTTCCCAAACTTCCGGTAGGTCCGTTTTTTGCCCTCCCTGAGCCTCTGTGTGCACCCTGCACTTACCTGCATCCAAAATAGGCCATGTGGGGACTCCTGGGGTGGGCGGGGCCAACTGGGAGTGGGATTTGGGGGTTCTCCAAACTGCACAGAATCTTAGCTAGAGGTTCTCCCAAACCCTTGCAAACCCCCAGCAGCCCACCCCTGGCTGCGTGGAACTCCAAGGAAAGTGGTTCAAGGACCCCCTCACCAGAAGTGGCTCTGCCCAGCTGTTTCCAGGCTCAGCCAAGAGATGCCTGGGACTTCCCTGGCCAATTTCCAGGGTGAGCAACCCAACTGGAATCCTCCCTAGTACAGGTAGCCCTCGACTTATGACCACACTTGACTTATGACCACACACTTGAGCACCCCAAATTTAGGTCATTAAGGGAGATTTAGGTCATTAAGGGAGACATTTGTTAAGTGAGTGTTGGTCCCGTTTTACAACTTTTCTCTCCACCTTTGTTAAGTGAATCACTGCTGCTGTTGTCAAATTAGCAACACGGTTGTTAAGTAAATGTGGCTTCCCCATGGACTTTGCTTATCAGATGGTCATACAAAAGGGGATCGAAAGTTGATTTATTTGAGAGTTGTTTTTCACAATAGCAGTGAGGCAGGAGCTGGAGCTGCAGACAACCCCCTAATTCTGTCCTTCACCTCTTCCCTTTCCAGGCTCCTCCTGGCTCTTCCTGTTTATTTGAACCGGATGATGTCAGAACCCAGCTGGGGCTGCCCCACTACCTCACTGTGGGGTCTCAACTGAGTCCAGAAAGAGCCCAACAGCCAAGTGCATCTCACAGAGCAGAGTTATAATGTGTGGTTCTTCGGCAAACACAAATCACTGCATTTTCTATTAGCTGAAGCTTCCAGATACTCTTCAAGGGCAGCCCATATAGAAGGCATAACAGTAGTCCAGTGGTGGGTTCCTCCCGGTTCGGCCCGGTTTGGCCAAGCCAGTAGCAGTGACGATATGACATCACCGAACCAGTTCTTTTGTTCAGGAGCTGGGCCCTCCCGTCCCCCCCGCGTTATTCTTACCTTTTATTTGGCCCCACCCCCAATCTATTGCTGCCTCCCAAGTCCCGGCTGATCGGCTAGAAGGAAAAAAACTGTTTAAACTCTTGCCCTGGGACTTCAAAGGGCCGCCCTACAGCTGATCAGTGTTAAAAGGCAGTGTGGTGGTAGACCAGTGCCTCCAAAAACAAATGAGTAGACCGGTGCCTCCAAAAACAAATGAGTAGACCGGTGCCTCCAAAAACAAATGAGTAGACCGGTGCCTCCAAAAACAAATGAGTAGACCGGTGCCTCCAAAAACAAATGAGTAGACCGGTGCCTCCAAAAACAAATGAGTAGACCGGTACAGCTCTGCAAGCAATTAAAAGCCTGGTAGACCAGTACCTCTGCTAAATCCTAAAGGATTGTCACGACCATCAAGCCACTCCCACAAAATAAGCCACACCCACAGAACCGGTAGTAAAAAAATTTAGACCCCACCCCTGCAGTAGTCCAACCAGGAGGAGACTAGACCATGAGGGACTGTGAGCAGAGCCCCTAATACAGTGATGATTAAACTTTTTGGTGTCGAGTGCCCAAAGCGTGCACATGCGCAAACCCCAAAAATACAATTTGAACGCCCGCCTGCGCATGTGCCCCACCCCTTCGCATGCGCGGGCATCCCCCATGCATGTATCCCACACCCGTTTTGGTTTCCAGGTTGGTGCAGGAGGCTTTCCAGCCCCAAAATGGCACGCGGGGGGCCCTCACGTGGCACCCGGTTGTGGCTTCCAGGTTGGTGCAGGAGGCTTTCCGGGCCCAAAATTGGGCACGGGGAGGCGGCTCACATGCGAACCCCAAAATGCAATGCGAGTGTCCCCTGTCCCTGTCTTTGTGTGTCCGCTGCATTCGCCCTGCACATGCGCAGCAGAGACCCAAAGACCAACTGGCCGGCAGGTGGTGCGCGGGCATGTGCGGTAGAGCTGGGCTGGGGCTACGGCTGGTGTGCCTGCAGAGAGGGTTTATGGCGTGTGCCATAAGTTTGCCATCACGGCCCTAATATAACACAAGAAAAAATTCAACAAAAGTCGTTACAGGGAAGACGCCCCCCTATCGTTAATACAAGTGGTGTGTTCCGAACCCTGAGAGGGGAATGGGACAACTTGCCACAGCCAACTTTCTGCGGCCAACTCGCCATGGCCAAATTGCTGTGGGATACCTTGCTTTTCTTTAATGATTCTATTCCACCATTTCTTTCATATTACTGTCCCGCAGTGAGTGGTCCTGCAGCGAGTTGGCTGTAGCAAGTTAGCTGTGGTGAGTTTGCCGTGGCAAGTTGGCCATTGCGAGTTGGCTGTGGCAAATTGTCATAGACACCACCCCCCCCCTCCGAGAGACCTGGCCTTTTATACAGTTTGGAAAAGCACACATTGCCATTGACGTCACAATACACCAATCATTAAGGGCAACATCATACACATATCTTGGCTAATCACACGACCACACTTGTCAAGTGCCAGGAAAAGCAGGAGATTCAGGCAGTTCAAATGAGTGTAAAGAATCTGGCCAACTAACCGTCAAGGGAAATTGAGCGGGAGATAAGAAAGGCACTCAAGGTGCGCTGGACTTAGATCTCTTGCAAGCGTGCAGGGACTCGTGACTTATGACGCTTTTGAACCCTCCCTCAGGCTCAACCTGGTCATCTCCTACAACACTTCAACTTAGCCTGACTAGGTGGCTCAGTGGCTAAGACACTGAGCTTGTCAATCAGAAAGGTTGGCAGTTCGAATCCCTAGTACAGGTCTCCTGCATGAGCAGGGGGTTGGACTAGATGACCTCCAAGGTCCCTTCCAACTCTGTTACTGTTAAATACTTCAGCTAAAGCTTACAAGGTATGGGAGACTTTATCTAATAAGTAACATTCCTACACTAAAAGCCTCCTTAAGCAACTTGGTGCTGTCAAATGCAAGAAATCAGGAGTCCAGGCAGTTCCAATGAATATGCAGGTTTATTTGATGCTAAATCTCTACACAGGTTGTCCTCAACTTACGACCACCATTGAGCTCAAAATTTCTGTTGCTGTGAGATGTTTGTTAAGTGAATTTTTTCCCATTTTACAACCTTTCTTGCCATGGTTGTTAAGTGAATCACTGCAGTTGATAAGTTAGGAACCCGGTTGTTAAATGAATATGGCTTACCCATGGACCCCATTTTTTCACATTAGGCAGAAATCTTGGGAAGCATGTATATATGTATGTGTATGTATATGTTGTGTTTGTGTGTGTGTATGCATACACACATACTGTATACCCATTTCCCTGAAAATAAGACCCATCTGGAAAATAAGCCCTAGCATGATTTTTCAGGATGCTCCTAATATAAGCCCTGCCCCCAAATAAGCCCCAGTTAAGTTCGTCAGCCAAACGGATGCATTTAGTACCATATTTCCTTGAAAATAAGACCCATCTGGAAAATAAGCCCTAGCATGATTTTTCAGGATGCTCCTAATATAAGCCCTGCCCCCAAATAAGCCCCAGTTAAGTTCGTCAGCCAAACGGATGCATTTAGTACCATATTTCCTTGAAAATAAGACCCATCTGGAAAATAAGCCCTAGCATGACTTTTCAGGATGCTCCTAATATAAGACCTGCCCCCAAAATAAGCCCCAGTTAAGTTCGTCAGCCAGACAGATGCATTTAGTACCATATTTCCCTGAAAATAAGACCCATCTGGAAAATAAGCCCTAGCATGACTTTTCAGGATGCTCCTAATATAAGACCTGCCCCCAAAATAAGCCCCAGTTAACTTTGTCAGCCAGACAGATGCATTTAGTACCATATTTCCTTGAAAATAAGACCCATCTGGAAAATAAGCCCTAGCATGACTTTTCAGGATGCTCCTAATATAAGACCTGCCCCCAAAATAAGCCCCAGTTAAGTTTGTCAGCCAGATGGATGCATTTAGTACCATATTTCCCTGAAAATAAGACCTAACTGGAAAATAGGTCCTACTGCGTGTTTTGGAGCAAAAATTAATATAAGACCCAGTCTTATCTTGGGGGAAACATGGTATATGTATGTGTATGTATATGGTGTGTGTGTATATACACACCTACACACACACACACACACACTGGCAATTGCTGAGCACATTGTAAGCCGCCCTGAGTCTCCGGAGAAGGGCGCCATATACATCAAATTTTAAAAAAATAATAATTGCAAAATCCTTTCTCTTGCCTGTTCCTAGGGCTGAAAGAGAATGACTGGCCTCAGCTGGGACTGGAATTCACAGTCTTCCAGTTTCTAGCCTCTTGCCTTCCCCATCATGCCTAATCGGCTGCCTTTAATTGTAGATAAGATTTGTGAAATTCATATCCAACCTTTCGTTTAGGCATATGCGGCATCCAATTCAAGGCTCCATGTCTACGGAGCTTCTCAGTCATCCAGGTCATGGTTGTCCCAAAGGTGCTTTTTTTTCAAGAGGCAACTGGACTTTCTGGTTTTTCTTTGAAGACATTTCGCTTCTCATCCAGTCAGAGCTGAAGAAGCTGCTTGGATGAGAAGCCAAAATGCTCGCTACATGGGGCTCCCCTTGAAAAGCACCCGGAGGCTCCAACTGGTCCAGAATGCAGCCGTGCGGGTGGTTATGGGCGCAACTCATTGTGATCATGTGACACCCTTCCTGCGCGAGCTGCACTGGCTCCCAGTGGTCTTCCGGGTGCGATTCAAGGTGTTGGTTACCACCTTTAAAGCGCTCCATGGCATTGGACCTGGATACCTTCGAGACCGTCTTCTGCCACTAGTAGCCTCCCACCGGCCACAGAGAGGGTCTCCTCAAGGTGCCATCGGCCAAATTATGTCGGCTGGCGACACCCAGGGGGAGGGCCTTCTCTGTGGCAGCCCCTGCCCTTTGGAATGAACTGCCCCCAGAAATTCGTAAGATCTCTGATCTCCGTGTATTTCGCTGTGCCCTCAAAACCTTGTTGTTCCGCCAGGCTGAGCTATCAATGTAAAGATTTTAATTGGTTTTTAAATATGGGATTTTAAATTTGGGGGTTTTATAAATTGGGCCTATCATTTAATAATTTTAATTATTTTTAAATTTTGTCTGTCTTTGTGTTTTTAATTAGGCTGTACACCGCCCTGAGTCCTTCGGGAGAAGGGCGGTATAGAAATAAAATTAATAAATAAATAATAAAATGTCTTCAAGGAAAAAATAAGAAAGTCCACTTGCCTCTTGAAAAAGCACCTTTGGGACAAGGCTCTGTGCTCCAATTTTTCTCCAGCTCTGGAGGTTGGTTGGGCTGAGCGAGAAGGTCTCCCAGAGAACTTCCGTGACTAAGGAAGGACTTGTTTCTGGATCTTCCTACTTCCAGGCTGAGAGTTTAACCACAATGGCTCTCTTCACCCCTCTTTGTCCTTGTCCAACTCAGCATGTCATGCAATCCCACTGTGTTTGGCTAGTTTATATTTCTTTGAATGCTCTTAGGAAACAGGCTCATGGTACTCAAGGTAAGTATGTAAACAACCTGAGCTCTTTTTGATTAGTAAGACACCAACAAATTCAAGCTACACACCAGATCCTTCAGGAGCTACGTAGTGATTCCCAGCAAGTCCTCGGTGGAGATCCTCTTTGCTCTGTTTTGCCCTGCCAAGTGGACCTCACGAGGTAGGAATTTGAGAGAGAAAAGTATGTGAACTTCAATAATCAAACAATAGTTGTAGCAAATGGACTAGTACACTGCTAGGGTCATTTGGTTAAATCTTTCACCTAAGAGTATAGACTGCTTTAATTGCAGATACTTCTAAAACGTATACACTTCAGCTCTGTGAATAAAAAAAAAGGAAAAGATTAAAGCAATAAATAATGGGATGGGGAGAAGACTAAAGCATGATCATTCTCTGCCACGCAGAGTTGCTTTCAGTGAACTAATGGGCCTGGTAGCTCAGCAGACTAAAAGCATTGTGATTAACACCAGCTGTCTGCAATTACTGTAAGTTCGAATCTCACCAGGCTCAAGGTTGACTCAGCCTTCCATCCTTTCTAAGGTAGGTTAAATGAGGACCCGGATTGTGGGGACAATAAGCTGACTTTGTATAAATATACAAAAGTATGAAGGCTATTGCTTAATGCATTGTAAGCCGCCCTGAGTCTCCGGAGAAGGGCAGCATATAAATCAAATTTTTTAAAAAATATGGGTGACTATAGACGTTTGATGAATGAATGAATGAATGAATGGAGGGAAGGGGGAGGGAGGGAGGGAGGAAGGAATAGCAATAGCAATAGAAATAGCATTTAGACTTATATACCCTGTTTCCCCAAAATAAGACATCCCCTGATAATAATTCCGACAGGCCTTGGGCCGTTGATCTCGCTCTTGTGATCTGGCAAGATCCAGCCATGAATGGCGTGAATGAGTTTTTAATATTTTTAATGTTTTTAAGTTTTAAATGTTTTTTATAATGATTTTTTAAAATGTATTGTGAGCCGCCCTGAGTCTTCGGAGAGGGGCGGCATATAAATTGAATTAATTAAATTAAATTTAAATTAAATTAAATAAGCCCAATCAGGCTTTTGAATGCATGGCAATAAGGCCAAGCGCTTATTTCAGAGTTCAAAAAAAATATAAGACAGGGTCTTATTTTCGGGAAAACACTGTATCACTGCACAGTGCTCTACAGCCCTCTCTAAGCAGTTTATAGATTCATCCTATTGCCCCCAACAATCTGGGTCCTCATTTTACCCACCTCGAAAGGATGGAAGGCTGAGTAAACTTTGAGTCCGGTGAGAATTGAACTGCCAAACTGCATGTAGCCAGCAGTCGGCAGGAGTAGCCTGCAGTACTGCATTCTAATTACTGTGCCACCACGGCTCAAGGAAGGATAGATGGATGGATGGATGGATGGAAGGAAGGGAGAAGAGGAGAGGAGAGGAGAGGAGAGGAGAGGAGAGGAGAGGAAAGGAAAGGGAAAGGAAAGGAAAGGAAAGGAAAGGAAAGGAAAGGAAAGGAAAGGAAAGGAAAGGAAAGGAAAGGAAAGGAAAGGAAAGGAAAGGAAAGGAAAGGAAAGGGACATTTTGTTGCACAGCTGGAAATTTTATTTTTCCTCTCTGTTGAAAGATATACGATCTTACAGCCCTGCATGACCTACTTACCATTTGAGGACTTTCAAAATCCTGACTGGTGGCTGTAACAGAGAGAGATGAAAAAATCAAGATTTAGGGCACAGTGGAGTGTCCTCTTTAGCCAGACAATATATCAAAGGCGTCACAATTGCACAAGAAACGCAAAAGGCCCTGGGCATCTCCCACATGCACTCTTTGTTTTTTTTTTCAAAACAACAAGATGCCATTCACCACAAATCAATCATCTGGGTTTTTCAATTTTCAATCATCAATCATAGAACTGGGTTTTTCAAAATATGTACTGCAAGAATTTAGTGAACATAATTTTTTAAAAAACTGCTCAAATACAGCTGGACCTGGATTGTATATGGACTGTACAGCAGGAAGGTAAAACTGATGGCCACTATCATTGCCTATCAAAATGCCCCATACAGGGGGATCACATGAGGTACTAATAAAGCCCTATTAAGACCACACCTAGAATACTGCATCCAGTTTTGGTTACCATACTATAAAAAAAGATGTTAAGACTCTAGAAAGAGTGCAAAGAAGAGCATAACCAAGATGATTAGGGGACTGGAGATAAAAACAGATGAAGAACAGGAACCGAGCATGGCCAGTCTAGCGAAGAGAAGGACCAGGGGAGACATGATAGCAGTCTTCCAATATTTGAGGGGCTGCCACAGAGAGGAAGGGGGTCAAGCTATTTTCCAAAGCACCTGAAGCCCAGACAAGGAATAATGGATGGAAACTGAACAAGGAGAGATTCAACCTGGAAATGAGGAGGAACTTTCTGACAGTGAGAACAATCCACCCATGGAACAGAAGTTGCCTTCAAAAGTTGTGGGAGCTTCATCACCGGAGGCTTTCAAGAAGAGACTGGACTGCCATCTGTCAGAAATGGTGCAGGGTCTCCTGCTTAGGCGAGCGGGAGGGAGTTGGATTAGATGACCTACAAGGTCCCATCCAACTCTATTATTCTATTCTATTCTGCTCTGTTCTGTTCCGTTCTGTTCTGAAATGGTATAGGGTTCCTGCCTGAGCTGGAAGACCTCCAAGGTCCCTTCCAACTCTGCCCTATGCTATGCTATGCTATGCTATGCTATGCTATGCTTATATACTTTATATTTAATTGTGTCTATTCTATTCTATTCTATTCTATTCTATTCTATTCTATTCTATTCTATTCTATTCTATTCTAGTCCAGTCCAGTCCAGTCCAGTCCAGTCCAGTCCAGTCCAGTCCAGTCCAGTCCAGTCTAAATTCTATTCTATTCCATTCCATTCCATTCCATTCCATTCTATTCTATTCTATTCTATTCTATTCTATTCTATTCTATTCTATTCTATTCTATTCTATTCCAGTCCAGTCTATTCTATTCCATTCCATTCCATTCCATTCCATTCTATTCTATTCTAAATTCTATTCTATTCTACCCTGTTTCCCCCAAAATAAGACATCCCCTGATAATAAGCCCAACCGGGCTTTTGAGTACATGGCAATAAGGCCAAGCGCTTATTTCAGGGTTCAAAAAATATAAGACAGGGTCTTATTTTTGGGGAAACTAGGTATTTTATTCCAATTCCGATTCGATTCTATTATTCTATTCTATTCTATTCTATTCTATTCGATTCGATTCGATTCGATTCGATTCGATTCCATTCCATTCCATTCCATTCCATTCTATTCTATTCTATTCTACCCTGTTTTCCCCCAAATAAGACATCCCCTGATAATAAGCCCAATCGGGCTTTTGAGTACATGGCAATAAGGCCAAGCGCTTATTTCAAGGTTCAAAAAAATATAAGACAGGGTCTTATTTTTGGGGAAACTAGGTATTCTATTCCAATTCCGATTCTATTCTATTCTATTCTATTCTATTCTATTCTATTCTATTCTATTCTATTCTATTCTATTTTATTCTATTCCATTCCATTCCATTCCATTCCATTCCATTCTCATGCATCTCTCTATCTCTTTTTTTTTTTTGAAAAAAGTTTTTTATTTTTATTTTTCATCAACATGTTTAAATGTACAGTCTTTTATCCATCCTTATACATTGTTCGTTCATCTTCTTCTTTAACTCCCATTAGGTAATTAATTAATTATTTGTTCGGGTCTGCTTTTTTTCCCATTTCCTTCTTTTGTTTTACTACCCCCTTTCCTTTTTCCCTTCCCTTCTTTCTCCTCCTTTCTTTCTTTCTTTCCTCATTCCTCCTCTCCTTTCCTTTCCTTTCCTACTTCCTTTCCTCTTTCCCCTCTCCTCTCGATCTCTCATTTTGATCATGCTGGCCCCATCTTTGCCCCCCACAGAGAGGGCTCGCAATCTAGGTGTCCTCCTGGACGCACGGCTGTCTTTAGAAGAGCATATGACGGCTGTGGCCAGGGGGGCCTTTTATCAGGTTTGCCTGATTCGCCAGTTGCAGCCCTTTCTGGACCGGGACGCCCTGCGCATGGTCACTCACGCCCTTGTTACCTCCCGGCTGGACTAGCACTTGGAGGCTCCAACTGGTCCAGAATGCGGCCGCGCGGATGGTTATGGGCGCAACTCGTTGTGCCCACGTGACACCCCTCCTGCGCGAGCTGCACTGGCTCCCAGTGGTCTTCCGGGTGCGATTCAAGGTGCTGCTTACCACCTTTAAAGCGCTCCATGGCATAGGACCCGGGTACCTTCGAGACCGACTTCTGCCACCAATAGCCTCCCACCGGCCAGTCCGCTCCCACAGAGAGGGTCTCCTCAGGGTGCCATCGGCCAAGTTATGTCGGCTGGCGACACCCAGGGGGAGGGCCTTCTCTGTGGGAGCCCCAGCCCTGTGGAATGAACTGCCCCCGGAAATACGTAAGATCTCCGACCTCCGGGTGTTTCGCTGCGCACTGAAGACCCTGTTGTTCCACCAGGCCGGGCTATCAACATAATAATTTTAAATTGGGGTATTTTAAATTCCTGGGGTTTTAAACTGAGCCAAATCTATTTAATCATTTTAAATTTTTAATCGTTGTTTTGTCTTGTGTTTTTAAATAGGCTGTACACCGCCCTGAGTCCTTCGGGAGAAGGGTGGTATAGAAATAAAATTATTATTATTATTATTATTATTATTATTATTATTATTATTATTATTATTATTATTATTATTATTATTATTATTATTATTATTATCTCCCACAGAGTCATCCTGTCCCAGCGCTCTTCCTTTCCCCTTTGCCTGAACAAGCTCTTAGGGAAGGTTTCAGGGGGATTATTATACACAGTTGACAATTAGTTTCATTTAGTGTCAAGTGTTCTATCTTTAGAGCTTTGCCTCTTCAGTAGGCCTCAGGGGAGAAAAAGTCAACCACATTGTGGTTGAGCCATGGGGCCTGACTTTGGCGCAGCGTGTATACATTTCAGTTTTTTAAAAGTGTGTTTTACTTAAGCTAACCTACTTAAGAGCCTTGGTAGTACAATGGTATAAGGCACCCTGTTATTAAGCTGGTTATTAAGACCAGCTGCCTGCAATTACTGCAGGGTTCGAATCTCACCAGGCTCAAGGTTGACTCAGCCTTCCATCCTTTCTAAGGTGGGTAAAATGAGGACCCAAATTGTGGGGGCAATAAGCTGACTTTGTATAAATATACAAAAGGATGAAGGCTATTGCTGAGCACATTGTAAGCCGCCCTGAGTCTCCGGAGAAGGGCAGCATATAAATCAAATTACAACAATAAAAAAAAATAAAAACCACGGGACAGTTTAGAAATTCTAATTAATAAATCAATAAACACACATACAGGCAGTCCTTGAATTACAACAGTTCATTGACTGTTGAGCAGTGACTGCTCAAAGTTGCAACGGCACCGAAAAAAAGTGACTTATGACGGGTTTTCGCCCTTACAACCATTGCTGCATCCTTATGGCCACGTAGTCAAAAATCAGACGCTTGGCGGCTGGCTCATAGTTCTGATGCTTGCAGTGTCCTGGGATCATGTGATCCTTTTTTGTGACCTTCTGATAAGCAACGTTCCTAGGGAGGCCAGATTCCATTACCAACCGTGTTGCTAATTCAACAAGTGCAGTGATTCGCTTAACAACTGTGTCAAGACAGGTTGTAAAATGGGACTCTGCTCGCTTAACAAATGTCTCGCTTAGCGACAGACATGTTAGGCTCAGTTGTGGCCATAAGTCGAGGACTACCTGAATGCTGTACCTACAAACTTATACTCAGGAGGAACCCATATTTCTCGTCGCAGGGAAGCTATGAATCTGCCACAGCTTCATTTGGGCTAATCTGGATCGTCCCCTCTTCCGCCCCCAAAGACGGTACCAAAAATTACATTGGGGGGTCGCTCACCTGATGCTGCTCTGTATACATTTCTGCCACGTTTTTCTGCAAGACAGAATCAAGAAGTCAGAGAGGACGTACCTGCTTAGAGATCCCTCAGTTTCCCCTCAGCTTTTGGCTGTGGTGGGATTCAAATTTTTTTACTACCAGTTCTGTGTGCCTTGGTGGGATGGGTGTGCCTTGGTGGGCGTGGCTTGGCTTGGCTTGGTGGGCGCAGCATGGGAAGGATACTGCAAAATCTCCATTCCCACCCCACTCCTGGGGAAGGATACTGTAAAATCTCCATTTCTACCCCACTCCTGGGGAAGGATATTGTAAAATCTCCATTTCCAGCCCACTCCAGGGAAAGGATACTGTAAAATCTCCATTCCCACCCCACTCCAGGAGAAGGATATTGTAAAATCTCCATTTCCATTCTACCCCACTCCAGGGGAAGGAAAAGATACTGTAAAATCTCCATTTCCACCCCACTCCAGGGGAAGGATACTGTAAAATCTCCATTCCCACCCCACTCCAGGGGAAGGATATTGTAAAATCTCCATTTCCATTCTACCCCACTCCAGGGGAAGGAAAAGATACTGTAAAATCTCCATTTCCACCCCACTCCAGGGGAAGGATACTGTAAAATCTCCATTCCCAACCCAGTCCAGGGGAAGGATATTGTAAAATCTCCATTTCCACCCCACTCCAGGGGAAGGATTCTGTAAAATCTCCATTTCTACCCCACTCCTGGGGAAGGATACTGTAAAATCTCCATTCCCACCCCACTCCAGGGGAAGGATACTGTAAAATCTCCATTTCCAGCCCACTCCAGGGGAAGGATACTGTAAAATCGCCATTCCCACCCCACTCCAGGGGAAGGATACTGTAAAATCTCCATTCCCACCCCACTCCAGGGGAAGGATATTGTAAAATCTCCATTTCCAGCCCACTCCAGGGGAAGGATACTGTAAAATCTCCATTTCCACCCCACTCCAGGGGAAGGATACTGTAAAATCTCCATTTCCACCCCACTCCAGGGGAAGGATACTGTAAAATCTCCATTCCCACCCCACTCCAGGGGAAGGATATTGTAAAATCTCCATTTCCATTCTACCCCACTCCAGGGGAAGGAAAAGATACTGTAAAATCTCCATTTCCACCCCACTCCAGGGGAAGGATACTGTAAAATCTCCATTCCCACCCCACTCCAGGGGAAGGATATTGTAAAATCTCCATTTCCACCCCACTCCAGGGGAAGGATTCTGTAAAATCTCCATTTCTACCCCACTCCTGGGGAAGGATACTGTAAAATCTCCATTCCCACCCCACTCCAGAGGAAGGATACTGTAAAATCTCCATTTCCACCCCACTCCAGGGGAAGGATATTGTAAAATCTCCATTTCTACCCCACCCCACTCCAGGGGAAGGATACTGTAAAATCTCCATTTCCAGCCCACTCCAGGGGAAGGATACTGTAAAATCTCCATTTCCACCCCACTCCAGGGGAAGGATACTGTAAAAACTCCATTCCCACCCCACTCCAGGGGAAGGATATTGTAAAATCTCCATTTCCATTCTACCCCACTCCAGGGGAAGGAAAAGATACTGTAAAATCTCCATTTCCACCCCACTCCAGGGGAAGGATACTGTAAAATCTCCATTCCCACCCCACTCCAGGGGAAGGATATTGTAAAATCTCCATTTCCATTCTACCCCACTCCAGGGGAAGGAAAAGATACTGTAAAATCTCCATTTCCACCCCACTCCAGGGGAAGGATACTGTAAAATCTCCATTCCCACCCCACTCCAGGGGAAGGATATTGTAAAATCTCCATTTCCACCCCACTCCAGGGGAAGGATTCTGTAAAATCTCCATTTCTACCCCACTCCTGGGGAAGGATACTGTAAAATCTCCATTCCCACCCCACTCCAGGGGAAGGATACTGTAAAATCTCCATTTCCAGCCCACTCCAGGGGAAGGATACTGTAAAATCTCCATTCCCACCCCACTCCAGGGGAAGGATACTGTAAAATCTCCATTTCCACCCTACTCCAGGGGAAGGATACAGTAAAATCTCCATTCCCACCCCACTCCAGGAGAAGGATACTGTAAAATCTCCATTTCCACCCTACTCCAGGGGAAGGATACAGTAAAATCTCCATTCCCACCCCACTCCAGGGGAAGGATACTGTAAAATCTCTATTCCCACCCCACTCCAGGAGAAGGATATTGTAAAATCTCCATTTCCATTCTACCCCACTCCAGGGGAAGGAAAAGATACTGTAAAATCTCCATTTCCACCCCACTCCAGGGGAAGGATACTGTAAAATCTCCATTCCCACCCCACTCCAGGGGAAGGATATTGTAAAATCTCCATTTCCATTCTACCCCACTCCAGGGGAAGGAAAAGATACTGTAAAATCTCCATTTCCACCCCACTCCAGGGGAAGGATACTGTAAAATCTCCATTCCCACCCCACTCCAGGGGAAGGATACTGTAAAATCTCTATTCCCACCCCACTCCAGGGGAAGGATATTGTAAAATCTCCATTTCCATTCTACCCCACTCCAGGGGAAGGAAAAGATACTGTAAAATCTCCATTTCCACCCCACTCCAGGGGAAGGATACTGTAAAATCTCCATTCCCACCCCACTCCAGGGGAAGGATATTGTAAAATCTCCATTTCCACCCCACTCCAGGGGAAGGATTCTGTAAAATCTCCATTTCTACCCCACTCCTGGGGAAGGATACTGTAAAATCTCCATTCCCACCCCACTCCAGGGGAAGGATACTGTAAAATCTCCATTTCCAGCCCACTCCAGGGGAAGGATACTGTAAAATCTCCATTCCCACCCCACTCCAGGGGAAGGATACTGTAAAATCTCCATTTCCAGCCCACTCCAGGGGAAGGATACTGTAAAATCTCCATTCCCACCCCACTCCAGGGGAAGGATACTGTAAAATCTCCATTTCCACCCTACTCCAGGGGAAGGATACAGTAAAATCTCCATTCCCACCCCACTCCAGGGGAAGGATACTGTAAAATCTCTATTCCCACCCCACTCCAGGAGAAGGATACTGTAAAATCTCCATTCCCACCCCACTCCAGGGGAAGGATACTGTAAAATCTCCATTTCCACCCTACTCCAGGGGAAGGATACAGTAAAATCTCCATTCCCACCCCACTCCAGGGGAAGGATACTGTAAAATCTCCATTTCCACCCCACTCCAGGGGAAGGATTCTGTAAAATCTCCATTTCTACCCCACTCCAGGGGAAGGATACTGTAAAATCTCCATTCCCACCCCACTCCAGGGGAAGGATACTGTAAAATCTCCATTTCCAGCCCACTCCAGGGGAAGGATACTGTAAAATCTCCATTCCCACCCCACTCCAGGGGAAGGATACTGTAAAATCTCCATTTCCACCCTACTCCAGGGGAAGGATACAGTAAAATCTCCATTCCCACCCCACTCCAGGGGAAGGATACTGTAAAATCTCTATTCCCACCCCACTCCAGGAGAAGGATACTGTAAAATCTCCATTCCCACCCCACTCCAGGGGAAGGATACTGTAAAATCTCCATTTCCACCCTACTCCAGGGGAAGGATACAGTAAAATCTCCATTCCCACCCCACTCCAGGGGAAGGATACTGTAAAATCTCCATTTCCAGCCCACTCCAGGAGAAGGATATTGTAAAATCTCCATTTCCACCCCACCCCAGGAGAAGGACATTGTAAAATCTCCATTTCCACCCCACCCCACTCCAGGGGAAGGATACTGTAAAATCTCCATTTCCACCCCACCCCACTCCAGGGGAAGGGTATTGTAAAATCTCCATTTCCACCCCACCCCACTCCAGGGGAAGGATGCTGTAAAATCTCCATTTCCACCCCACCCCACTCCAGGGGAAGGATATTGTAAAATCTCCATTTCCACCCCACTCCAGGAGAAGGATATTGTAAAATCGCCATTCCCACCCCACTCCAGGGGAAGGATACTGTAAAATCTCCATTTCCACCCCACCCCACTCCAGGGGAAGGATATTGTAAAATCTCCATTTCCACCCCACTCCAGGAGAAGGATATTGTAAAATCGCCATTCCCACCCCACTCCAGGGGAAGGGTATTATAAAATCTCCATTTCCACCCCACCCCACTCCAGGGGAAGGATACTGTAAAATCTCCATTTCCATCCCACTCCAGGGGAAGGATACAGTAAAATCTCCATTCCCACCCCACTCCAGGGGAAGGATACTGTAAAATCTCCATTTCCAGCCCACTCCAGAAGAAGGATATTGTAAAATCTCCATTTCCACCCCACCCCAGGAGAAGGACATTGTAAAATCTCCATTTCCACCCCACCCCACTCCAGGGGAAGGATGCTGTAAAATCTCCATGTCCAGCCCACTCCAGGGGAAGGGTATTGTAAAATCTCCATTTCCACCCCACCCCACTCCAGGGGAAGGATGCTGTAAAATCTCCATTTTCACCCCACTCCAGGGGAAGGATACTGTAAAATCTCCATTTCCACCCCACTCCAGGAGAAGGATATTGTAAAATCTCCATTTCCACCCCACTCCAGGGGAAGGATACTGTAAAATCTCCATTTCTACCCCACCCCACTCCAGGGGAAGGATACTGTAAAATCTCCATTTCCACCCCACTCCAGGGGAAGGATACAGTAAAATCTCCATTCCCACCCCACTCCAGGGGAAGGATACTGTAAAATCTCCATTTCCAGCCCACTCCAGGAGAAGGATATTGTAAAATCTCCATTTCCACCCCACCCCAGGAGAAGGACATTGTAAAATCTCCATTTCCACCCCACCCCACTCCAGGGGAAGGATACTGTAAAATCTCCATGTCCAGCCCACTCCAGGGGAAGGGTATTGTAAAATCTCCATTTCCACCCCACTCCAGGAGAAGGATACTGTAAAATCTCCATTCCCACCCCACTCCAGGGGAAGGATGCTGTAAAATCTCCATTTCCACCCCACTCCAGGGGAAGGATACTGTAAAATCTCCATTTCCACCCCACTCCAGGAGAAGGATATTGTAA